TTGATGAGATGGATTGATTCAGTGACCAGGGAAATGGGGGTTAGGTATGTCAGAGACAAAAAGATTGGCACAGGATCGAGCAGGATATAGGGCTCTTGTACATAGGGTCACTATAAGTCTCAAGTAACTTGTTGACACATAACAACAGTCCGAAGCTACAGGATTTTTATATTCAAAGAGAACAGTTTGCATTCAGTTACTAGTAAAAAAGAAAAATTGTGATAGAATTTACATATGACTAAGAAAAAAGTATTTAAAAAAGTAAATGCTAATCTAGGAAAGATGCATTTCTCCTCCTGATAAACAGACCCCTTAAGGTGCAGTTCACATAAAACTAAGAAAAATGGAACCTTAGGATTCTTACATACAGTTACTAGTTATACACAACTATATGTACAGTCTACAAATTATTGAGAAAAGACAATTGTTAACTGAATGAAAAGTTGTATTTCTCCTCCTGGTAAACAGACAGCTTAAGGTACTTTGCATGATTATATAGAAGTTTTACAGTAGAGTCTGAAGACCAAACCTTTGTTAATTAGATGGTTCTACCAGTTTTACAGGGTGGGGTACATGATGTCAGTTTTACAAATATACCATATGGTCGAATAATCCTGACTTTATTAATACCACTCTGTTATTGTGGTCAATATACCTCACTTTAATATTTATTTGTTCGGAAGAATATGTGATCCCTTGTAAATTCTTTAAGGCAAGAATTATATTCTACTGGTATCTGTATCCTCAGGGACCTGCTCTAGATTCACAAATGTTTGTATCAAGGAAGATTTGATTGCCTTACAAACTAAACCCAAAGTGCTCTGTGAGTTGTAAGTCTGCTTAGAAACATATTGTATATTTGCTTTCAACACATGACTGTTGAAGGAAGAATATGGCAGTTGCCCCACTACCCCCAACCTTGACCACTTCCTGAAAAACTTAATAACACCTGAGCTGGTCACATAAAGGACCAGACCAGACAATGGATCCTCTTAAGAGTCTGAGCTTGAGAAAACAAATTAACAAACAAAGTTAAAACCTAACTAAATTAAAATGCCAAAGTCCAAGAAGTACCATCTTAGTCCTCCCCATGAACCCTATAAAAAGGTAATTCCCCAAACTGCCCATGGGCCATTTGATCATGCCATGCTGCTGGGTCACTTGGCATCCCTCACTGCACAATAAAGACCTGTTTGTTTCTTGGGACCAGTTCTTTATTTCTCTCCCTCGCACCCTCGCTCTCTTTTGTATCTACAACTGCCATATTTCAAGGAATTTAATTCCAACTGGATGTAAAGAATTATACACACACACACAGAGGGACTCAGTGAGGAGGAGCACAAGTGACATCCAAATATTGAAGGAAGCTGAAATTAATGTTGATGGGATTGAAATATATAAACCACATTTATTTTATTATCACTGTTAAGGATTAAAAACTTAAACCTTCAATTAATTTAAAGACGAAGGTATACCTGAACCAAGCCATGGTATTTCCGTTGCTTTATGTTGTGAAAGTTGTATAGTGAATAAGGAAGACAAAAGAAATTTATGTCTTTGTATTATGGTGTTGATGAAAAGTACTGAATATACCATGAACTGCCAAACAAACAAGTTTGTGTTGGGGAAAAATGCATCTGGAGTGCCCTTTAGATGCAAAAGCATGAGACTTGTATCCTGCATTGTGGGCATGTTGTTATCAGCAGGGGAACCATGTCTTTGGGAGAGTACAGGGGACATCATGCTTGCATGAGTGGAGACTGGGCAAATGAAAAGGAAAACCCCAAGGATAAATATTAGGGGAGCTCTGGTGGCCCACTGGCAAGAAGTTGCACTGCAATCCCAGAGGCGCATGGTTCAAATCCACCAGATGCTCTGCTGGGGAAGGAGGGACAATCTCCTCCTGTACCAGTCAAATCCGATTTGACAGTACACACACAAAAAAAGAATAATAAAAAAAAAAGGAATGAAATAGAGAAAAAAGGATAAATATTGATGCAGTAACTGTGACATTGGGCTTAAGCACAGTGAGATTGTGAGGATGGCTAGGGATTGGGCAAGGTCCTTATGAATTGAAGTCAAGTTCAAGGTACCTAACAGATTCATTTTTAAGGTTGAAGCCTTACTCTGAGCACCAAAGGATACTTAAAAAAAATCAGATTTTTCTGATTTACACACACAATCACATTATCTACACTTATCACCGGCACTCCATTGTTGGGTGAAGAAATTTGAGAATGTTGTTGTTGTGCCGTGGAGTCGCCTGCGACTCATAGCGACCCTATGTACAACAGCCCTAAACTCCGCTCTGTCCTGTGCCAATCGCACTGTCTCCGACACTCCCATCCCAGTTATCCCAGTCACTGAATCAATCCACCTCATCCTCTTCCTTTGTATTTCCATACTTGAAAACTCAACCTCCTTTGCCGTTTCTGTTATCTAAATGTGTTCTGTTGTACATAGGGTTTTCAGAGGCGTGCTATTTCAGATTAGGGAAGAGAAATCAAGGATGAATTTTGCATGTGTTTTAATAGAGTCAGAATAATTTAGTTAACTTTTAGTTTACTTGGTAACAAGTTCAAAAGTAAAATATTGAGAGATTAAAAAACAGTATATAACTAATGAAAGATGTACTCCATACATTGTCTTGAATAGGTATCGAGATAGAATTAAAAATACCTCATTTTGTGCTGGGTTTTTGGATATTCTGGTAAAGACAGTATTCCATGTAAATTTGGTGGCATTCTTTCAACTTCTCCGCCTCCTCCAGCACGATGAAAATGTGATTTAGAAAGATTAAATGATTTGCCAGTCACCCTTTGGTGGAGCCCACGTTTAGTACTAAATGACTCTCCCCTCCCCTCAAAGGGATTAGAGATCTAAAGAGATTAATTATTTTTAAAATTAGCTCAGAACCTAGCCTAGTCGTTTCAACAAAGAGCATTTAACTAGATTTAAAAAAGAAAAGGTAGTTTAAAAATCAAATTGCATTCTATACAAATTTTAATAACTAGCACAAATCTCTTAAGAGTAAACACAAAAAAAGAGAAGTTTGTGTTGCTCTTTCTTTCCCTATCAGGAAATGCCCGCCTGAAGTAAAAAGATAACAGTTCTCTTTAGGGAATTAGAGCCTGTACTGATCTGTTGCAAAGTTTGTATGTGATTGGCCCGGGAGAGCTTCCTGTGTTGTGATTTAAAGGAGAGAGGGTGGAGTCTGATTGTAAATGTTGCTTGTGATTGGGTAGCTTGGTCTGCAGTTTAGGCTCGGCCAAGAATGGTTTTGCAGCTCTGGGAAGTTACTGAGCCTCTGAAATGCTTACAAAAATGTGACTGTCAGAAAGGGTAGTGCACACGAATTTGAAGACTGCACTAGAAAGCATGCCACCTACAATTTACCCGTTTCCAATGTCCCAGTTTAAACAGGATAAATTTTAAATTAAGGTATGATCATTTTTTTCTTTTTCTCACTCTACAAGACTTAAAAGGAGGAGGAGCCAGAGATGTAAGTTCCTGTTTTTATAACTCTTTTGTGAGCTCCACAGTTGTAATGACTACAAAATCAACGTTCGTTGCTCTGTGTTTAATGCAAAATATTGGTATATTGAACTAGTTTATTTTTGTCTTGTATATAAATAGGTCTGAGTGGAATTTTTATTGGTAGCAAAGATTTATTGATACTGATGTGAGTGCAGTAATTTTTTTGTTGAGTCGTTAAAAAAAATCTTATATTTACTTTGAATGTAAGCTGTTATCTGCAGTTACCTTTTCAGAAAGATTTCAGGTGTATAATTCAGGAATTTGGGAAGAAAATCTCCATCAAACTGCTTAGAATCGAGGTTTTCTGTTCTTTTAAGGTAACCGACATCAACATCTAAAACTGAGAAATGTTCTTTTATAATCAAATGGATTTTAGGCTTAAAGACCGTGGTATTTGTTGTTCCGACTGTGAAACAGGGTCTCCTGAGAACTTTTTCTTGATGTAGTTTTTTAGTTCTTTAATTCTGCGGCTGATGAGGGTTGCAGAGTGGCAAACAGGTCATAAAGGATTTGTTCTCAGGGGAACTATTTTGTCTCCATGTGAACTGTTAGTTAGTTAGTTCCCTTTGGAGACAGGCAAGCCATTTGATGGATCTGAGATTCTTTTTTGTTGCCCGTAAGATAAAAAGATTGCATAGCTAGACTAAATTGTTGGTTCTAGATTGGTGGTTTTCTCCCACTTCCTAATATACCCGAAAAATACAGTGCACTCCTTTCATTAACAATGGCTCAGTAATTCAATGACTGTCAGCATGTGAGAGAATGTGTGGGTGTGTGTAAGCTCCATTTCCATCAGGAGCATTCTGTAGTATAAGTGGGGTTTGCCTCCCTAAGCCCCTTCATTCTAAGGATCTAAGAATTTGGATAAAACAAATATTGAAGACCTCCTTATCTCTCAAGTTTCTCATATTTAAAAGTAATTTTTTTTTTTGCGCACGAATTTGAACTCCAGGTCAGTAGTTACTTCATGTGTCAATATTTTTCCCTAAGAAGCTTCTTAAAGTATATAGAATATTTTTATTAAAAAGGTGTCACATATATTAGAAATATTTTAAAAAATTATGAAAAATAACTAAATCCCTCCAGTAATCTTCTGCTCTTTATGGTCCTTATTAGCATTGCGGAATATATATATATATATATACCTTTAAAAAAGATGTATTTTAGTGCAGTACAAAAAAAAACTCTTGAGTTTGTTTATATTACTTAATATCTCTGCCCTTAAGAAAAAAACCATTTAACTCTCTGATCCTCAGTTTTCTTCTTCTTGGTAAAATGTAGATGATTCTTGCATTAAGTCATTAATTTTAAATGATAACTACTCATGTGAAAGCAGCACAAGGCCTGAACAAAAACAGATGAAAATTGTTAAATTTTATTCTCCATTTTACCTTTAAAAATATTGTTAAAGATATTTTTAAGAGTTTAAAGAATCTAGGATTTTTTTTTCCTTTGCAATTCAGTCCCATATGACAGCCCAGAAAAGAAGTAAAGAACAGCAGATTGACATTATGAATAAACAATATAAACAACTTGAAAGCCGTCTGGATGAGATACTTTCTAGAATTGCTCAGGAAACAGAAGAGATTAAGGACCTTGAACAACAACTTACTGAAGGTGAGAATTGAAATATAAATAAAGGTAAATTAATTTAAATATTTATGAAAGATCAATAACATCATTGCCATTAAATCCTTTATTGGAGTAGTAATCTTGTAGGACTGAGTGGAGCAGATCCACAGGCTTTCCAGAACTGTAAATCTTTATGGAAGCAGTCTGCCACATATTTCTCCCATGGAATAGCTGGCTGTTTCAAATTGCAAAACCGCACGGTTTGCAACGTAATATTTCAACCACTACCACCTCCTGTTTGACAGCCATTTGAGATGTTAGCTAAATCTGATTCATCTGTTGTTATTAGTAGTTGGAAGCAAATATATGCAGAATTTTCCAAAGTGCTCAATAAAAATGTGGATTTCTTTGTTTAAGGCGCATGATTTATAAGAAGCAAAACACATCCTTCACAAAAGCAGATGTTTCTTTTAAGTCTAAATTCACAAAGGATATCCATTTTTAAAATGTGAATTTTTTGTTTTAATTTTGCTTTATTACATTGATGGGTGTCCTTTTGAGTCAGACCATATTCTTCAATAAGCAAGAAACCAATACACTTGGTTCTCATTATGTGTGGTAGTTAATTCTCTTTAGTGAGCTTAGCTCAGAATGAGTGACTCCTAAACCATTGTTCCTAGGGGAAATGCAGGGTTAATTTCCTTTGAGCCTCTGGTCACATTTTTGTCAGTTGATCAATGCATAACATTGCTTTAAGTATGTTTTCTTTATAGATATCTTATTTAATGTTTATGGTTGATGCATTAATATTGAACTCAAGCCAATGGCACTATAACATGCCTAAACAGAGCTCATGTAACGCAAGTATTTTCTTGTAAGGCACGGCACATCCTTTTTGAGCTTACTAACACTAGATAACAGAACTTTTGTGGCCTAGTGACAAGGAGGTATACTGCAGTCTCAAAGGCACATGGTTAAAATCCACCACCTGCTCCACAGGAGAATGATGGGCAGTCTCCTCCATTGAGAGTAACTGCCTCTGAAAAAACTTGATAGATGGTCAGCTATGTGTTGATTCCAACTTAATGGTCCAGAGCGATACCACCACTAGATAGCATTTAAGCTCTATACTTGGGGATCATTTTAAACAGAGGCAGCAGATAACCATAAACAGGTGGAAAAAATTGTACTACTAAATAGACCATGAAAAGAATAATTTTTTTATAATATGAAATAGGGCAGAGTGTTACCTTGTTAAACATCAGCTGGAAACATCCACATTGGATAACTAAAATACTTCATAAAATCCTTTTTATGATTAGAAAACCTGCTAATATCATGGCATTAAATTCAATGTCTGGTTATAAGGAGAATGTAGAAAAAATTTTAGAGTTAACTTTTGTATTGCAAATTAAAAAGTGTGGCATTCCAGTAATGGTGAAAGACACTAGACTATAGTTGTGAGAGCCTAAGCTCTCTGTTAAAAAAATCCTAGTCCCTCGTTTGTCATTATCAGTGGCAACTCAGTTGTGTAAGTTAGACAATGTTTATTTTGATCACCAAAATGGATTAGATGAAATAGTGTTCATAAAGTACCTGACACTTTTTGTTAGATGCCATTCAGTCTACTCTGATCCTATATACACTGCCTAGATCCTGTGCCATCCTCACAATTTCTGCCATGTTTAAATCCATTGATACAGTCATTGACAGTCTTCCCTCCTTAGCTGACCTTTCACTTTTCTAACCATGAGTCCTTTACAAAGTGCCAGCCCCTCCTGAGAACATGTCCAAAGGATCTGGGCTGAAGTTTCACTGTCTTTGCCTCCAAGAACTACTCTCTTCCAAAACAAATTTGTTTGTTCTTTTGGTAGTTTGTGGTGTAGTCCATATCATTGCTATTGAGTTTGTTTGTTTGTTGTTTTCTATACTACCATTGTTAGATTGTTGTTATTGTTGATTGCTGTCATGAGCACAACTCATAGTGACCAAGGCCTGAAGCCTTTCTGTAACTATCATTGTTTCTCAAAGTTTATAGAGTTTCCAGAGGCATGTTGTTTACGAAGTGGATGCCACTCCTGCTTCCAAACCTGTCTTAAAGTGGGAGCTCTACCAAAAACTGTCCACCATAGGTTACCAATTAAGGCAATTGACACCCCAGTGGCACAAGGTTCAGCAGATAACCATAAACAGCAACCCCAGGTTACCTCAGTATAGCAAATTGACAGAAGAGTGCTGTACCACTTAGAAGAATGTTCCTCCAAAATAAAATAACAACCAACTTTTAAATGCAAAGGCTCTTCCTTAGGACTTGTTGACTCTAAACAAGAGGCTTAAATAAAAAACAACCAATGTGTTATTGCTGTGCGAGTAATTGTTATGTGCCGTTGAGTCACCTGTGGCCCATGGTGACCCTTGTATAGCCAATCTGAACCCTTCCCTGTCCTGAGCCAGTCTCACTAATTCTGACACACTAACCCCCATTGCCCCAATTACTGTATCAATCCATCTCATCTGGGGTCTCACTCTCCTGCGCTGTCCATCCACCCTTCCGAGCATGATACCCTTCTCCAAGGACCAGTCTCTCCTGGCCACATGCCATAAGTAAGTGAGGCGGAGCTTCAAAATCCTAGCCTCCAAGGAGAGACTTGATTTCACCCTCTCCCAGACAGACCACTTTGTTTTCTTGGCAGTCCATGATACATTCAGCACCACAACTCAAAGGCATTTATTCTTCTATCATCCTTTGTCATTGTCCAGCTCTCTGAAGCATAACATTAGGCACACCTTAGTCTCTAGACTAACATCCTTGCTTTTCAGCAGTCTGAGAGGTCCCTGACAGCAGATTTTTCCCAATGCAATTTATTTTTTTTATTTCCTGACTGTTGGTGTTAAGAGTGTTAATTGTGGATCTGAGCAAGCCATAATTGCTAACAATCTCAATTTCTTACATGGTGCTACCATTTCCATATTGAAGACTGCAGTCCTTGACCTTCTGCAGCAAGTGCTTCAGGTCTTTCACAGTTTTATCAAGCAAGATTGTGTCATCCCCATATCGTAGGTTGTTGATAAGTCTCCAATCTTGATGCCACATCCCTCCTCATAAAGCCCTGCTTCCTGAATGATCTGTTCTGCATACAGATTGAAAATTAAGTTTTAAATATATATTAAGAAGTTCTATTTTGAGCTCTGGTTGCCTAGTGGCAAGAAGCTGCACTGCAATTCCAAAAGTGCGTGTTTCGAATCCACCACATGCTCTGCTGGAGAAGGAGAGACAATCTCCTCCTCTACAAGTCAGATCTGATTTGATTGTACAAACGCAAAATAAAATAAAATTAAACTAAAAACAGTTTTTTACAATTAAAAAAGTTCTATTTTGTACATCTGTATCTAACACCAAGACTTTTTTACACATTTTAAAAATTATTTTCTTTGGAAATTATTATTTTAAACTTTTAAAAATAAAATTAAACAGGGATTTTATAGACTTTCCTGTTAAATAACAAAATAACATTTTTTTTTGTTGTGGGCTTTTGTTTAATACCTAATTGATCCTCTTGTACTGTGAATAATTGAATAATAAGGGGGGGAAGACTCCCTGCATTTGAAAAATAACATTATGGGTTCAGGAAATAATTGAAAGCTTGGAATTTCACTAGTAGCTCATAACAAAGAGCTATGGAGACTGTAATTTTTATATATAAAGAAACATTTTTTGTAAGCATTATTACCTTTTGTTCTTCACTTTTTTAGGCCAGATAGCAGCAAATGAAGCCCTAAAGAAGGATTTAGAAGGTGTAATCAGTGGTTTGCAAGAATATCTGGGATGTATCAAGGGCCAGGCAACTCATGCCCAGAATGAGTGCAAGAAGCTGAAGGATGAGAAAGAGGCATTATTACAGAGATTAACCGAAGTTGAGCAGGAAAGAAACCAACTGGAAATAGTTGCTATGGATGCAGAAAATATGAGGAAGGTGTGATTTGTTTGTTTTCTCTTTTCTTTTACCTTATGTGTAGATAATATCTAAATTAAACTAGTTGAAGAGGATAATAGTGACATAATTATAAATGCTGAAAAGTACTAATGACTATTTGGTGATTGAGGAGGCCCTGCTAATGTAGACCAAAGGAGTCGTACTGCTTAACCCAAAGGCTGTGCCTCTGGTGGTTCGAATCCACTAGCAGCTTCAGGAGAAAGATGGGAGGTCTCCTCCCATGTGATACACAGTCATGAAAACCCACTGGAGAGTCATTATGAGTTGGAACCAGTTTGATGTAATCGAGATTTGGTGGGTTTAAGTTTTTTTAGTTTTTCTTTAGCTATGATGTGCCTTATAACCATGATTATTCTCTTTTTAAGAAAATCACCCAAACCTACTTGCCATCAACTTGGTTCCAGCTTGTGGAGGACTCAGCACAAACCACTAACCTTTTGGTTAGCAGTCTAAAAATGTAATGTACTATGTACTAGGGTTTCATTTATAAGAAAAGGAATACTATTTTAGTTGAATTTTATCTCTGGAATTTATTGTTATTAAATAACTCCAGATAAGTGATCTATTAAATGTTCAAATTTTATTATTTGTGGAGCAAAACTAATCACATCTTGTGGGGGTTTTTTTGTTATTCCTAGAAAATTTTGACACAATACCTACTCCTCACTTAATGACAGTTTAGTTACTGACATTTTGCATTTATGATAATAGTACAAAATCTATCCAACCCTTTTGTCCATTAAAGAGGAATATCTAGTAGTAACAAATGCCAAAGTAGGTATAAGATAAAAATAACAATGACTGGAATGAATAAAGCTTTGTGTCAGCTTGGTTGGTCTATGATTCTCAGTGGTTTGACATTTATATGATGAAATTTGGCAGTATAATGATACGATCTTTTCCATTTTGTGATCTGATGTAGTTATCCTCCATTTTTACATAAGTTTGGAACCTAACATCGGTAAGTGATGAGTAGTGTATACTTTACCCAGACAGGCTCATTGTTAAAAATTATTTCCTGCTATAAGAATTCTTGGTGGTGCCATGGATAAGCTCTCTGTTGTTAACTGAAAGGCTGGTAGTTTGAACTCAACAGCCACTCTAGAAAAAAGGTTTAGCAGTCTGCTGTTATAAAGATTAAAGCCTTGGAAACCCTATCAGGCAGTTCTTCTCTGTCCTATAAGATTGCAGTAGGAGTCAGAATAGACTTGATGGCAGTGAGTTTGGTTTAGATTTTGTACTTGGTCTGAGAGCTAGACAGTGAATAAGGATGACAGAAGAATGGATGCCTTTGAGCTGTGGTATTGGAGAAGAAGAATACTGAACATCCCATGGACAGGCAAAAGACCAAACAGAGGAGAGGGTGCAGGAGAGTACTCACCCAGGAGAGGGTGCAGCTAGAGTGCTCTTTGGAGGCAAGAATGATGAGGCTTCACCTCATATACTTTGGGCATGTTGCTAGGGAGGGCTCTTCTTTGGAGAAGGACATGATACTAGGAATGATGGAGTGTCATAAGTAGTAGTGTTTTGCATGAGTTAAATTTTTTTTAATTAATTTTAATGAAAGTTTACAGAGACTTTGGATTTCCATTGTTGCACTTTTCTCCCTGCCCCCCCCCCAATTTCGCTCTTATCTTTCAAAAATAAGAGAAAAAATCTTTCATTGTTATACAGTCCCTCCCCCTCAAGTCCACTCCACTATGCAGCCTTCATTCTGGACTCCTGTCATGACAATAATACCTAATCATATATAGCTTTTAAACAGTTCTCTCCCTAATCTGTTTCAATGCAGGATACATTATTTATTCCCTTTCTCAGTCTCCCCTCAACCTGGATGGCATTCCCATTTTACAACAGTGGCACTATGCAATATTTGTCCTTTTGTGACTGAGATATTTCACTCAGCATAATGTCCTCCAGGGTCACCCATTTTGTATATTTCATGAGTTCCTTGTATTTCAATGCAGCATAATATACCAGAGCTTCTCTATTCATTCGTTTGTTGATGAGCACGTAGGTTGTTTCCAGCTCTTTGGTATTGTGAACAAAGCCGCAATAAACAAGGTGTGCATATGTCTGCTTGGATGGCAGTTATGGTTTCTTTAGAGTGTATTCCCAGTAGTGGAATTGTTGGGTCAAATGATATTTCTATTTGTAACTTTTTGACAAAGTGTCCTACAGCCTTCCATAGTGGTTTGACACTCCCACCAAAAGTGAATAAGGGTTCCAGTTTCTCCACAACCTCACCAGCATTTGATGTTTGGTGTTCTGTTAAATTTTGTTATTCTTACTTGGGTGAGATGATTTCTCTTAGTTGTTTTGATAATTTAAAAATTTATACAAAAGTGCATGCTCTTTGATTTATATAAAGTTTATGCTCTTTGATTAACTTCCTTTACATTTTTTTTGGTGGTGGTTGTTTTGGGTTGTGGGGTGTTTTGGGTTTGTTTTTTTTTTCATAATTACATGCATACAAGCAACTCCAGCTACTTTTTTTTTTGCAATCACTTACTTTTATGGATTTATATAGTATTCTATTTATTATACATAGCAATTTTGTTACTTATTCATTCTCCTACTCGAGGACAGTTAGGTGGTTTCCAGTCTTGATACTATTTAAAACATTGCTGAGACTAACAGTGTATATCATGGTCATGGGAACTGAAGTCATACATGGACTGTGATTCAGTGTTGATTCTTCAACTTTGCTAGATTTGCTAATGATTCTATTGATTTCTATTCTTGCTAGCAGTGTGAGGGCTACCATTACATCCTTTCCAAAACCTTGTTTTTTCTAACTTTTATTTTTCAAACTTTATTCTGAAATGGTTTCAAACTTATAGAGGTTTCAGGAATAATACTGATAACTTATATACCCCCATATTTACCAATTAATATTTTGCCACATTTGCTTTATTGTGCTCATATATCATTTTGGTGTGATTTTATATACTTTCTTTACATATTTTTCTTGAGCTATTTGAGAATTAATTGTAGACTTCGTGTTCCTTTGCCTCTAAATATTTTCTTTACCAACACAAAAAGAATAATTAGAAAATTCAAGAAATTTAACATTTTGTCATTGTTTAATATTTGTTTACCAGTCTGCTATGTTTGAAATGATCTTTTCTTCACATATTTTTATTATAAAAATTTTTGCACTTACAGAATAGTTGAAAATGTGGTTCATTGAATGATAGAATCAGTGACATAATGTGTAAACATTTAGTTCTGATGAAAAATAATCCCTTGAATTTTCTCTTCCCTCTCTTTTTCCTTTTTCTTTAATATAGTCAGACTATAAAGCATTAAACAGTAAGTTGGTAGATTTTTCGGATTACATTTAATCAGGGTTTCATTTTCTAAGCTGTGTGTGTCCAACCTGAGACTTCATCGTATAGTTAATGAAAACTTTCTGTGCCAGACCAGCAGTAGTTGGCTAGCACTTGATTTACAGTGTTCAGATTACTTTTAATGGCTTGCAGATGCCTAACCAGGCAGTGAGGGTTCAGAATTAAACATAACACTGAATCTTTCTAGGAGCTTGCCGAGCTAGAAACTGCCCTCCAGGAGCAGCATGAGATGAATGTATCCCTGCAGCAGACCCAGGGAGATCTCACTGCCTATGAGGCTGAGCTAGAGGCTCAACTGAAAATGAGAGATGCTGAAGCCAACCAGCTCAAGGAAGATTTGGAAAAACTAACAAAGCTTAGCCAGGTAAGTAGAAACATAAAGCCATCTCAGAACTAAAGTAACTTTAAGCAGTCAGCTTTTTCAATTATATGCTAATTTATGATTGAATTCTACATGTCATGTATATGTAGATAGACACACACACACACACACACCCGCCCCAACATGCTCATAAGTAAAAAACATATATTTGGAACCAATTACTCTGACTTCAAAAATTACCCTTGTATAAACTTGAGTAGATAATTTCATGACTCTGAGACTGTTTCTCCTCTGTAAAATAGGTTTTAAGGAGGTTATGTGAGATCACTAATTATGAAAGGATTTAGCAGTTGATTCATGAAGTTGTAGTCACTCTCAGAATAACTTTAAGAGACTTTTTTAAAGTTAATGCTAAATTGTATTTTGTGCTTTCCTATTATGGTTGAATGAAATATCCACTAATATAAGTTACATTTGCAAATTAGAAAAATAGTTCTTTATCCAATAAATAGATGACTACAAAAGGCCAGGCGCTGTGAATGTTGCATCAAACAGTACACTCATGGTTATTGACCTTAGGAAGCTGGCAGTCCTTTAGGTGAAAACTGATGGAAAAGTAGAGGGTGACTGTTCTGTACAGAGAAGCAAGGAGAAAGAACATTTAGCACTAAGGGTGCTGAAAAAGATTGCCTCAGGATTTTAGGAACAAAGATAGTGAGGGATATGAGGAGAAAGACTGAAGAGGTGAGCAAAGGCCAAATCCAAATTGACCATTAAGGTCATGTTGAAGATGCCATTTTTATAACAAGTCTATAGAGGGAAAATGTAAAGCAGGGACATTATATCATTCCCCCCCTTTTATAATTTTTTTATTAATTTTAATAAAATTTTACAGAGACTTTGGATTCTCATTCATTCATTGTTGTACTCTTCTCCCTGCCCAACCTCCCCCCAACCCCAATTTGTTCTTCTCTTTGAAAAGTAAAAGAAAAATTCTTTCGTTGTTATATAATCCCTCCCCCCATGTTTACTCCACTATGCAACCTTTGCTCTGGACTCCTGTCATGACAATAATACCTAATCATATATCCCTTTTAAACAGTTCTCTCCTCATCTGTTTTAATGCAGTATCATTTATCCCATCTTTCTTAGTTTCCCCCAACCCCGATGTCAGTCCCGTTTTATAACAGTGGCACTATGCAGTATTTGTCCTTTTGTGACTGAGATATTTCACTCAGCATAATGTCCTCCAGGGTCACCAATTTTGTATAATATTTCATGAGTTCCTTGTTTTTCAATACAGTATTGTATTCCATTGTGTATACCACAGCTTCTCTATCCATTTGTTTGTTGATGGACACTTGGGCTGTTTCCAACTCTTTGCTATTATGAATAATGCAGCAGTAAACATGAGTGTACATATATCTGCTTGGGTGGTAGTTTGGTTTCTTTGGGGTATATTCCCAGTAGTGGAATTGACGGGTCAAATGGTATTTCTATTTGCAACTTTTTGAGAAAGTGCCATACTGCCTTCCACAGTGGTTGCACCATTTTACACTTCCACCAACAGTGAATAAGGGTTCCAGTTTCTCCACAACCTCGCCAGCATTTGTTGCTTGCTGTTCTGTTAAATTTTTCTAATTCTTACTGGGGTGAGATGATAACTCATAGTTGTTTTGATTTGCATCTCACTTAGAGCTAGGAATTTTGAACATTTTTCTTCATGTGCTTGTTGGCCATCTGAGTATCTTCTTTGGTGAAGTGTCTATTCATGTCCTGTACCCATTTTCCAATTGGATTATTTACCTTTACCTTGTATGGTGCTCGAGTATTTTATAAATTCTAGATTAAGTCCCTTGTCTGACATATCATTACCAAATATTTTTTCCCAGTCTGTAGCTTCTCTTTTTACACTGTTGGAGAAGTTTTTGGACGTGCATCGGGATTTGATTCTTAGAAGGTCCCATTCATCTATTTTATCCTCTTTTGATTGTAGATTACATTATATCATTAATGTTCTTGAAAAAATTGTTCTGGTTCCTGAGTGGGAAATACATTGGAAAAGAAGAATAACTCGAGGCAGAGAGGTCTTTTTTAGAAGACTGTACAGTGATATAAATGAGAGATGATGCCACTTGAACCAAGATGGCAATAGTAGATGTGAAGTGGACTGGACAGGCTCAGAAAGTATTGAGGAGCTAGAATTACTAATATCTGGAAAAGGCAAAGATATTTTTTCAATTTCTGGCCTAATTATATAGTGGATAGTGATTCCATTAGCTGAAAATAAGAATAATGATGGATAGTTGGCAAAAAGGTGATGAATTCTATGTGGGCAGAGTAGGTATTCAGGAAGGCATCAAGAGAACACTCAACTACAGGATCTGTGGATTTAAAGCTATGGGAGGAAACCTTGGCAGAAAGAAATATTTGGGAGTTACCACCATATAGATGAAAAATTCAGCCTGGTCGTCTAAGAAGTGTATATAAAATGAAAAGAGCAACAATCTAGAATGAATGGAGACCTTACAAATAACATTTAAATGTGGGAATTAAAGAGAAGATCTAGTATCCAAACAGTAGTGCCGAGCAGTTAAGAGAGAAAAGTCATTGAAATTATCATCAAAAGAAAAAGGTACAAGAGAGAATATTAGTGTATTGAAGGATCGAATGGGGTTGAAATACATTTTATCAGAATAAACAGTTATAGTATATTCCTTATCAGATTTAAATGTAGATGTCTTCAGACTAATAGCCAAATAAGCTATATTTTCTTCCAGAAAGGCCACTCTTGACCTTCCCTTTTTGTGTACTGAAACAGTGAGTTCAGTAAACCACTTCCATTTTTTTTTTCTGTTCTAGGTCAAGCAGTTTTATCATACGGTATTATAATTACCTTTTTAGATTGCAGAGATTGAGGAATGCTCAGGTTGTATCTGCTTCTTTCTGTTTTTTTTCAGTGCCTTGTATATGCTTACTTGGATGAAAATGAAAGAAAACAGGATAGTTTGAATATCAGAAATGCATTTGAAATAGCACTCCTATTAGGAAAGGATTAGAAAAAGAACTAAAAGTAGAACTATCTTGTCATCATTATTGTATGTCATAAAAAAAACACCCTCCAGCAGGTTTTCAGAGGCAGTCAGTCACATGTGAAGATATTCCCTGTCCTTCTCCCACGGAACAACTGGTAGATTTGAATGATGTACATTTGTATTCATTTGCCAATTGTAAAAATTATATTTTTCAAGAGCACCATATTTTTAAAAACAGTAATTGGCAAAATCAAGGTTTTAATAGGAGATTGGGGGATAGTAACATGAAACAATTTCAGATGGAACTAAATATATATATTTTTAAATAATGAAACTTCTAGATAACATTTTTCAAATAAAGTCTTTTTGAATTTCAAACCAGCCCTTAACTAGTTTCAAATGCATTGTCCTTCCTATTCAGTATTATATGGGAGTTGTAGCCAGATCAGTAAGGCAAGAAAAAGAAAGAAAAGGGGTCCAAGCTGACAAGAAGGGGGCAAAACCATCACTACAGCTTATATGACCCTTTATATAGAAAAATCCCAGTCTCAGCAAGAAAATTACTGGATCTAAAGCAAGGGTAATTTTAATGATTGTTCAAAACACAAAGAATGTGTATAAAACATAATGTATGTGAATGATTATATGCAAACCAATTTTAAAAAAGGATGAGCATGTGGTTCAGGCCTGACCAGAGGAAAAAAACCCAAAATGCAAACACCATAAAATACCACATGTAGTTGACAGTTTCAGCAAAGAAACACAGTACAACAAACATAAAAAAAAATCTATCTCAGTAGTATGAGAACTCTGGAAAGAAATTAAGAAAAAGAATACCATTTACAATATCCACTCAAAAGATGAAACATTTAGGAATAAACCTAACCAGGGATACAGAAGATCTATGCAAAGAAAACTAAAAACCCTACTGCTAGAAACCCAAAACTAACTGGACAAATATAGCATGCACGTACATGGAAAGACTTAACATTGTGACCATGGCTTCAACCTGTCCAGGACAGATTTTGTTTTTTTGGCTGTCCATGTTGTTGTTTTGTACTGTAGAGTCAGAACCGACTGATAGCTGACCCTCTGTCAGGCTTTCAGAGGTTGTTAAACACACAGTTGGAGATTGCCCATCCTACTCCTTCAGTGTAGCTGGTGGCCTTGTACTGTGTGCCTTTGGGATTGCAGCACAGCTTCTTGCCACTCGGCCACAAGAATTAGATATCATTAAAAAAATGGTCAAGATTTTGTGAAATAGGGGAGCTCTGGTGGCCTTGTGGCAAGGAGCTGCAACTGCAATCCCAGAGGCTCATGGTTCAAGTCCACCAGATGCTCTGCCAGGGAAGGAGGGACAGTGTCTTCCTGTACCAGTCAGATCTGATTTGACGGTACACTCACACAAAAATAATAAAATTTTTTAAAAAAAAAGATTTTGTGAAATAACTACACAATGTGGATGAATCTAGGATGAATGATTTTGAATGACTAAGTCACCAAAAAAGGCGCTTCTGGTAAAAGACCCATTGTTGTAAACATCTAAGGAAATGTTTACACACAGTCATTTGTGGATGGTAAACAAGGATGGGAATGGAAGGAGAGAGTAATACAAATTAACAAATAACTTCAGTGAAGGGAAAAGCAATAAACAATGAGGTTGATTAGAAATTTTTTTTCTAATTTTTTATTTTATTATTTGTGTCTGTGTGTGTACCGTCAAATCAGATCTGACTGGTACAGGAGGCGATTGTCCCTCCTTCCCCGGCAGAGCATCTGGTGGATTTGAACTGTGAGCCTCTAGGATTGCAGTGCAGCTTCTTGCCACTAGGCCACCATTGTAATTAATCAAGGATAATTCATGTTATACAGGTATATATTTGAATGATTGAAAAGCGAGTATGATTCGTAAACTTTCACTGAAAACTTACAAATAAAATTTTTAAGAGTAAATAAATATCCAAGGTAAAACTGTCTTACTGACTCACTGTCAGTATTTTGAAGTACTCGTATTTGAAATGCTCTCCCTGTGCTGTAGCCAAAATTAGCTCAATTTTTGTTGGACAAAACACAGTCTGGCTCTTGTACATAATAAGTACATGTGCTCTGATGGTATAGTCCATCAGAATTGCATGCTAATCCAAAGGTGATACCTCTCTGGCAGTTCTAATCCACCAGTGATTCCAAAGAAAACAATAGGCAATCTCTCCTGCAATTTACAGCCTTAGAAAATCTGCTAGACTAAGTCAGCTACGAGTTGATTATGACTTAACAGCAATTCGTGAGAGTAGGTATGTAATAAAATAAAATTGCTTATTGAAAGCTTAGGGCTTTTTTGCTCATGTGGATAAAAAGGGAATGCTCAATGATAAAGAATGTATAGTTCACTGGCAAAAAACCCCTCCAGCATTGTCCTTTGTACTTCCAATGCCCTCTGTCCTCACTGTTGGGTTTTTTATTTTAAAAAAGTATAATTAGCTTGCCTTTTAAGAAATTTATTCACTGAAAGTTAGAACTAGTCTTCAGATCCTACATATTTAGAGTACTTAGCCTAACAGGTTTTTTTCTTTGATCTCCTGAACTGCAAATCTTTGGTTAACTATAATTTGTAAAATCTCTTGTGAAACTGATTAAATGCAAATTCCTAAGCCATACCTTAAATTATAAAGTCTAGGTAGAGCTAGGCATCTGTATTTTAAGTAAGTACATCAGGCAATTTTGATACAGGTATTTGAGAAGCACACTTGAACAGGTCTAAGGGAAAAAGGAACAGTAATTAAATCACTTGTAGAGTTTTTAATAATTGATTTGGCTCAACTATGGAGATTTTTTTAGTTGAAGTGCCTAAGCTGACCTGATTTTGATGTTTTCATCTCATTAAATATTCATTGAGAAAAATATCTGGGGTATTTTTCCCTTGTAAGCACAAACTTTAAACTGAGCTATTTAGAAAACCATGGTTTAAAAGGGCTTCTGGGTATATGCAAATTTACTTATGCCTTTTCAGGTTGGAAATTATTGTTATCTCATTTTCTCCCCATCTCATTGCTTCCTGTGGCAATAGTTAGAACAATCCACCCTTCAAGCAGAACTTGAGAAGGAAAGACTAGCCCTTGAGAATGCCCTCCAAAAAGTCCAGTTCTCAGAAGAAAAGGAACAAGAACGCAGTCAGCTCCACACACAACTTAAACAACTGCAGGTATAGATTACCTTTATATTGTTTGATGGTGTAAAGAGATGGATGTAGTGTCAACAGTATAAAGAGCAGAGGTTTGTTGAGTTGGGGGCAGAAGACAGCACTTAGTCCTGGAGCAAGTCCTAGGGTGTGCCAGCTGAGGAACCATACTTATTGAAAGATGCATTACTAAGGAAGCCAGATAGGACCAGAAAGGGATTTCTGCTTACAGCCCACTTCTGTCAGTGACTTATTTACCTTGAAATTGGGTGTGGATTGTCTCTGGGTACACAGTTACCCTTGCCGTCCCCTTGATACAGAGTTAGAATTGTTGTTTTTATGTGTTGTCCAGTCAACTATGACTCATAGTGACCCTGCATACAATAGCTTTGAACCTTGTCTTATCTTGAGCCAATCTCACTGTCTCTGACACACCTCACCCCTTTGCCACAGTCCCAGTGTCATTCCATCTCATCCAGGGTCTTCTCTTGCTCTGTCCCTCCACCCTTTTAAGCATGATGCCCTTCTCAATGGACTGGTCCCTCCTGGCAACATGCCCAAAGTATGTGAGGTGGAGTAGTGTTTGTAGTTTCTTTAGAAGCAGATTTCTCACCAAACTAAGCTAAAATGATCAGATTGATACATTCTTCTTCCAGGAATTGAGTAGGTGGCATGCGGTAGAATTTCTTAATTCTAAACAATTTTCACAATCCTCTTCTCAGAAAGATTACTATTAAAAATGCAGTCATTTTTAAAAAATGCAGTCATTTCATATTTAGATTAGTTTTCTCTGGTAGATTTTCTTTTTTTTTAATAACTGTTGTCACAATAATCTGCCCAGCAGGCTGCAGGAGAAGCAAGTGGATGATATTTTCTGGTTAATTGAACTCACTCAAAGAGTGCCTGAGCAAATAAACTTGGATCACCTCAGGTATCTAGTCTGTTTGGCTGCCTGAAGAATAGCAGCTATACCTCAGCAGAAATAAAGGCACAGTTTATATGGTTTTGAAGAAGGCTTTTTTAAAAAGCCAGGCAAGAAATTTCTAACTAATGACACTAAATTCACTCAAATTACCACCTCTTCTCATCTCTTATATATTTTGTTCCCTGAGTTGAAGTTGACTTACTTAAATTTTACTTTTTTCATTAAGACATTCATAAGTGGTTTTATTTATTTATTTGTATCACATGGCATATAATAATGCCTACTTATGTGGTTATTTGAAGAGTGAGCAAAGTATGACAACTGAGTAGAAAAGATTTTTTTTTAATTGGTAAAAGGAGTTAAATAAAACTATCATATAATCATGCTGTATATACATGAGCAGATGTTTTGGTGTTTTTTGGTTGGTTAGCTTTTTAAACATTATGTTCTTGACAGTAGACACAGCAAATCATGTATCAGTTCTGCAGTTTCTAAATGTAGACATCAGTGACATTTACATTCTTCAGCTTGTACAACCATTCTCACCTTCCTTTTCTAACTTGTCTTATATTAACATAAATTCACTACCTCTCATCTACAGATGTGTGTAGTTGCTATTGTCACTTTAATCTTAAGAGATTGAGTTCTTTATTAAATTTTTATTTGAATAAAGATTTACATATCCCAAGTTTTTCATATAATCATTCATAGACATTTTGTTTTACAAAGCATTAATTGCCATTTATTAATATAATTAAATATTTAATCACCCCTTTTTGTGTATCACCTTCTCCTTCCTATAGAGAATTCTTTAAAAGCATACTGCTGGGGGGCTGAAGGAAATGGAAAGGATCTGGTGGGGACCTGAAAAGATTGGGTAATTATGAGTAAGGTCCAGTGGTGGTTGATTTTCTAAAACAATGCATAGGAATGATTGTATGGAACATATTTTTAATGAAGAATAGTATGAAACACAATATAGATGAACTTTGTGAGCAAACCAATTGATAAAAAGCATGCTGCTCAAGGTAGACATTTTTCACTAGTTAAGCTAAATGACTCCTTAGTTTTGGGGGGTTTTTTGGTGTGATGGGGTTTTTTTCTCCCTCTTTTTTTTTATACTATTTTTAATGAATGTTTACAGAGACCTAGGGTTTCCAGTCATTCACTGTTATACTTTTCTCCCTGCCCACCCCCTGCCCCCAATTCACTTTTTGCCTTGATAAGTACAAGGAAAACGCTTTCATTGTTATGCAATCGCTCCCCCAAGTCCACTGCACTGTGCAGCCCTCATTCTGTACTCCTGTCATGATAATAATACCCAATCATATATCCCTTTTAAACAGTTCTTTCACTCATCTGTTTCAATACAGTATGCATCATTCCTCCCCTCCTTCTCTGTCTTCCCTCTACCCCAGTGTCAGTCCTGTTTTATAGTAGTAGTCCTATGCAATATTTGTCCTTTTGTAACTGAGATATTTCACTCAGCATAATGTCCTCTAGGATCATCCACTTTGCATAATATTTCATGAGTTCCTTGGTTTTCAGGGCTGCGTAGTATTCCTCTGTGTGAATATACCAGAGCTTCTCTTATCTGTTCCTTTATTGATGGATACTTGGGTTGTTTCCAGCTCTGCTATTTAACAAAGCCGCAATAAACATGGGTGTGCATATAATCTCTTGGGTAGTGGTTCTAGTTTCTTTAGGGGTTTGTTTTGTGTGTTTTTTTTAAATCTGTGTACCTAAGGCTGTCCCTAAAGCTCTCCCAAATGCAGTCTATCCCTAATGCTGACCCTAAAACTGTCCTAATGTTAACTCTAATCCCTACCCTAATGTTATCCCTACCTTAATGAGTTTGTTTTAGTCTTAGGAAGTTCCACCAAATCCTGTCCACCATGGCTGAGTGATCCTGCTAGTATTTGAAATAGCAGTTGTATAGCTTTCACCTTCACAGCAGCATGCAAGCTACCATAGTTTAGCAAACTGTCAGACAAGTGGTAGTACTGTTTGGTTTTAAGAATATTTAATGGGATATGTTTTAAAGATTATCTCAGGAAAATAGTTTCAGGAGTTCATCTAATCCCTTTGGCTCTAGAAAATCTGGAACTTATGATAATTTGAAATTCTATTCTGTATTTTCCTCCTTTTGATCTGGCTTTTTCTGTTGAATCCTTGACAACAATGTTCAATAATGGTAAGTAGGAACCATCCATCTCTTCTGGTTTCATGGCAAAGGAGGTATAGATTAAATTTTGTTTTGTTAACTTTTACTTCCCCATTTCACTCCCCTTTTAGGATGACAATGACTTGTTAAAACAGCAACTTAAAGATTTTCAGGATCATCTCAGTCATGTAGTTAATGGTTTGATTCGTCCAGAAGAAGTGGCAGCTCGTGTGGATGAGTTGAGGAGAAGGCTGAAGTCGGGAGCTGGGGAAACAAGGTAAAAAAAAATCAAGAATTTCAAGTATAGAGGTGTATCAAGTTATGAATATTAATTTGATTGATAAATGCACCTTTCCAATACTGTAAATGGATTATTTATTTTGTGGTTTCCCTTTATCCCGTTTCTTTGGCTGAAATACAGAATCGTTTAATTTGAAATGTCTGTTACTGGTTTCCTTTTTCACCTCTCAAAACCTTTATACTTTTTCCAATTTGAAAGTTAAAATTTTGAAAGTAACTTTTGAATGTTCATTGCATATTATCTGATAGTACAGTAAGATTCTTCACTTTAGTTAGCAAATATCAAAAGACAATAAGTAACTAGAGTGACCTTCATAATAAAACACTGAATACTTTTCCCCTTATTTCAGAAACAAGACAAGGATGGCTTTGACTTTTACTACTGCTGTTCAATATTGTAGTGGAAGTTCTGGATATGGCACATGAATATGTGGTGATTGGTGGTAGTGGTTATATTTCATTGAGATGACTATGACTTACAATGATCCTACAAACAGTGGTTCTGAACCTTGTCCTATCCTGAACCAACCTCAGGAAGAAGAAACCTGGAAAAAAGATGCAAAACCATCTCTAGTCACAGACGATCCTATATGTTAAAAATCACAAAGAATCCACAGACTACTAGAGCTGATTTATGAGCTAAGCAAATTTTGCAAAGTGACTGGGTACAAAGTCAGCATTCCTATACATCAACAATGAACAATTTGAAAAGAAAATTAAGAAGACAATTCCACTTTACATTAGCATCTAAAATGCTTAAGACTAAATTTAACCAGATAAGAGACACAAGAACATTATAAAATATTGCTGAAATAAACTACTGCCATTGAGTTGATTCCAACTAATAGTGATCCTGTAGAATGGAGCAGAACCACCCATAGGGTTTCCAACACTGTCACATCTTTCTTCCCAAGACTGACCAGTGGGTTCAAAACACCAGTACTTCCGTTAATATCCTAGTGCTTCACCACTTTGCCACTGCAGATCCTTCAGAGACCTCAGGAAGACCTAAATAAATGGAAAGACACAAGGCATCCCATGTTTCAGGATTGGAAGACTTAAATGTTGTTGCGATGTTAGTACCGTTCTGAATGATTTACACATTCAACAGAATCAAATGAAGAGGAAGTATTAGTCCTCAGTTTTATTTGGAATTACAAAGGACCCAAATAGCCAAAACAGTTTTGAGAAAAAGAACAAAGTATGTAGACTCACAATTCACTGATTTCAAAACACATTGCAGAGCTATGATATAAATTAGTGTGAGATTAGCACAGTTATTTTGTTCTTACACATTTATTATTTGTCTGTCTTTATGCAGAATTAATTCTTTAAACTTCCTTTATTTCCCTATTTAACTGTGTAGATATTATTATATTATATTCTACTTTTTTAATACTACTGTAGGTAAGTATGGGAGAAGGATGAACAGTCTTCTCCCATAAGATTTACTGCCTCTGAACACCCACTGTAGGGAGGGTCAGCTATGGGTCGGTTCTGACTAGAACAACATCAAAAAATAAATTTGTTATTATTATGTTTTTAAAATATGGTATTAGTATAATAGATACTTAGTTAAGTGGGATAGAATTGAGAGGCCAGGAATAAGGCCATATATCTGGCTAATTGAAAGAGATGCCAAGTCCATTTATTGGGGAATTTCTTCAACAAATGATCGTGGAAAAATTAAATTTCTATGTGGAAAAGAAAAAAGTTGAAGCTATAGCACACACCAGATTTTTTTTAAAAGTACTTACCACAAAACCAAACCCCAAACTTCAAAATGGATACACTGACTTAAGAACTGAACCAACAGAACTCTCAGAATGAAACATAGGGAGTGGATATGGGATCAGATTGAGAACAGCAATTCAAAAGATTAGGCAGAAATATTAAGGGGCAATGAATTTATGTTGGAAGAACAACTCAGGAAAGGAAGGTAAGAATGATTGAACAACAAATAGAGTAATCCTTGTCACTAAATAACACATTTAAAAACTGTTCAGTCAGTGTACATTTTGCTGTGTGTATGTTCAACAACAACATCATAAAATTCAGGAAATAAACTTAGAAGTAAAATGTCAAGAAATTATTTTTGACAGTGCATTCTTATTATGACATAATTCAAAATGAATAGTGCTGGATAGAATAAACTAAAAATCTTAAAGAAAGACACTACTATTTCAGTTGAAACTGGAGGAACCCCTGAGACTGTTGCCTTTATAATGCTCTAAAATTTTAACTGAAAACACTCTCAGGGGTCACCTTTCAGCTCAATAGATTGGCCCGTGAAATAAACACTATAATCTATAAATGCTTCACTTCACTTTTTTTAAAAAAAAAAATTCATCTTTTTAAAATGATGTGGTCATCAGTTACTCTAAAGGAAACATGAAATGTTAAAGGTAGCCAGGGAAACTAGATTACTAGAAACAATGGAAGCAAGAATGGAAATAATGAGAATGTTGATCTGTTGCGGAAAAGTGTAACTAAAGTCATTGAACAAAATACACAGAAGTTGTTAAAAGATGGTGATGGCACAAGATAAGACATGGTTCAGATCTCTTCATAAGGTCACTGTGAGTCATACTTGCCCCAACAACACTTAACAACAACAAGAAGAATCTTTTGTCTAAACTGTAACAAAAAACCACAATAGAATACTACTTTATTTAAAAAATTAGAACAGGGCTTGACTAGACATTTCCCCAAAGAAGAGATGAAAATGGCTAAGAAGCACGTGCAAAATTGGTCATTGTCTTTAGTGAAATGCTAAACAAAACCACAATGAGATAGTATTTCATTCTTATTGTTGAGTGCCATGGAGTTGTAACTGACCCGTAGCTTATCCTCTGGCAGATTTTCAGAGGCAATAAATCACATGAAAGGAGATTGCCTATCTCTACAACTCTTTAACACACGGCCACTATTGGATCGATAACAAAGAAACCTCACATTGAAATAGTTAAGGCCCTGACTAGCCGCATAACCCCAAAAGATTTGAACCCACCAGCAGCTCACAGGAGAAAAGTTTTGGTAACCTATTCCTATAAAGATTATGGCTTAGGAAACTATAGGTCAATTGTGCTTGGTTTTATTGGGTCATTATGAATCAGAATCATCTCAACAGCACAAAACAGTAATAGGATGGCTGTTGTCAGAATAATGGAAAATAGTAAGTGGAGTATGTGGAGAATTTAAAAGCATCATCCTTTGCTGATGAGAATGGTAAATGATTTATAAACTCTGTGGAAGACAGTTCGGCAGTCCCTTGAAAAGCTAAAACATAGTTATCATATAATCTAGCATTGTACTCTTAGATATATACACAAAACTCTTGAAAGCGGAGACTCATGCAGATCCTTGCACACTTAATAGTCATTGCAACATTATTCACAGTACTTGAAAGGTGGAAACCACCCAAGTGTCCACTAGGTGAATAAGGGAGTAGGAGTAAAGGGGGTTAGTAATAGAATGTTATTCAGACATAAAGAGAAATTAAATCCTTCTGAGTAAGCCAGGCACAAAAGGAAAAATACTATATGATCCCATATATATTTTTTTAGAATAGATATTGAGTAGACTAGATAAGGGCCAGGGAAGAGAGGCTGAGGGAGAGTTATTTTTTTTAAAAGGATATTGAGTTTCTATTTGGAGTCATCAAAAACTTTTGGAAGCAGAAGTAATGGTTGTTCAACATGGTGAATGTAATGTCATGAAATTTTGTACTTAAAAATGGGTAAAATGACTAAAGTTTTGTTTATTTTTATTACCTTTTTTTAATTCAAGGAACATCAGATTTTTGTTCCTTACCTGATCAAAGCTCACTTCTCTCTGTGGTTGTTTAGGATTCCACAGTCCCTGACAGTTGTTACATTAAGCAGGAGATGTTTTTGTTGTTTTGAAGTCTGACTGTTTTTTAAAAATTAAGCACAGTTTCAAAGATCAATAGATGGATTTGGACATTAACCCTTTGAGCAAACATGTTAGCTTACTTTGAAACCTGCATTTTTAGGATGGCAAGAGCTGTTTGATAAAATAATTATCTGCCCTCAGGAGATGCTCAGTAGATTGTTGTGAGTGAATAACGGTTATGCCACATACTTCTTTTTACTCATGTTCTAATATTGACCAAATACTTGCATCTGGTACCAAAATTAAAATGTAACATTTATACCATCTTTTCCCCCCTTTTCCAGAATTGACAGTCCTTCAGATGTCTTGGGGGAAAGCCTAGTCAATTTACAAAAACAATTCAGTGAAATTCTTGCACAGTCCCAGTGGGAAAAAGAAGAAGCACAAGTTAGAGAGAAAAAACTCCAAGAAGAAATGGTACTGCAGCAAGAGAAACTGGCCAGTGGGCAAGAAGAATTCAGGCAGGCCTGTGAGAGAGCCCTTGAAGCAAGAGTAAGAAATGGGCAAGAGGCAGCTGGAGTAAAGTGTTTGGCAAATATTAATGTTTTCTAGTATATTAGAATGCTTCATTTCATGCAAATACAATATATTTATTGTTATTTTCACTTGTAACAAGTTAAGCCTGGTGTGGCTGAACACTGATGTCAATGTCAGGCTTATTTGTGACACTGTGCTTTCTTGTTTTGGAAGCTAGTGAGAGATGTTCACAATATGTAACTAAATAAAACAACATTGCTAGAGTAAAGTGTGGTGCCAGAATCTTATTTTTCTGTGCAGTGAATTTAATTAACTGGCAAACATTAAAAAGTATTCTAGAGACTGTTTAAGATAAAACCATCCCTAATAGCTAATCCAAAATTTTGGTATACTCTTTAGTAATGAAATACAATTTTCTAAAAAGTTTGTTAAGTATATTTGTTTAAAAGTCATCTTTGAAACTATATTCTCATAGATTAATTTTGACAAGAGGCAACATGAAGCAAGAATTCACCAGTTGGAGAATGAAATTCATTATTTGCAAGAAAACCTTAAAAGTATGGAGGAAATCCAAGGCTTTACAGATCTCCAGCTTCAGGAAGCTGATGATGAGAAGGAGAGAATTCTCACCCAACTTCAAGAGCTAGAGAAAAAGGTTTGCAAAACCAGGAGAGGTAACACATAGTATGTGCTGACCTCATCCTGCCTAGGATGCCTGCTAGTTTGCTGTCAGCTGAGAGGGATGTTAACCATGATCCAGTGCTCTGACTGTGTTGGGCACAGAAATAGACATTTCCTAGTAGAGAGACCTGGTAAATGGGAAACGTGAGTTGGCAATGAAAGGAATGACTTTAGCCTAGTATTGAACAGATTCTCTTGTGTTGAGTTTCTCTTTTTAGATAGTATTTGCCCAGTTGAACACAACCATAAGAAATTACATTTTCCTTCCTAATACTTTGACTTCTCAACCATCTATTCCCATTGTCTCATCTTGTGCCTAATCAGATTCAGAATTCATACCTTCTACATCTGAAATTCAGGAGCTCTGGTGGCCTACTGTTAAGGAATTATGATGCCAGCCCAAAGGCAGGTGGTTTAAATCCACCAGCTACTGCATAGGAGAAAGATAGGCATCATAAATCCTTCCATGTGATTTAAAGCCTCTGAAAACCTGCTGGAGGGTCAGCTGTGCATTGATTCCAATTCAGTGGAACACAACAGCAACAACAACATCTGAAATCACAAACTGAAATGTCCCATTCTGATTATAACCTCTTTTCTATCAGCACCCCACTCTAATAATTTTTCACGCTGATTGAAACTTGCTATTTATTAGCTTTCCTCCCTTCAAAAAATATTTATTGTTATTAATATTATTAGTCCCTTCTTGTTTTTACCTTTCTCTTTGGCTGACTTAAATTCAGTGGTCTACCTCTATCCATCCTTTTGTGGTGTCCTCAAGTCCCTTGCCTTTTCTCTGTCTTCTTTCCCTGACAATATGCAGCTATCTGCCATCTTTGGGTTTGCACTGATACCAAGTATCGCCTATGCAGACAGATTGGCATCATTGTAAATGCTTAGTCACCAATCTCAAATTGGTGGTATCACCCTTTTCTCTGCTTAGCTTGCTGTACTATGTACCACTGTTTCATGGATTCTCATTCCTCAGCCCACTTCCCTCCTTCCAGTCTAAGCAAATTCTCTACTTCATCCTTGACCGAGAATTATTGTCTCTTGTCCTGTTAAGTCATCTCCAAAATAGATCTCAAATATATATATTCTGTCCTCCTTCAGTGTTACTCTCCCCACCTGGCTAGCTCAGTAAATACTTCAACTACCTGATAGATCCACATATTCTCATAATTGTACAACATATAACAATCAAAATGTTCTTACTCAAAGGCAAAGTGGCTCTTTTTACACCCCTGTAGTTTCCTGTTCTTAGGATAGTAATTGTTTAAACAATGATGTTACCTCATAGAATGAAAGCTAAAATGCTTAAAGTCTTTGAGGGCCTCCATAATTTGTCTCTTTGTACCTAGTTCCTGTTCTTACAATGTTCCTTGTTTCACTTCTTAAAAAATGCCAAAGTTCATTCTTCCTGCTTGGCCTTCACACCTACCATTTTTTAATCTGAATCTTGTTTTTCCTCTGTTCTTCCTAACTGTCCCTGTCCTAACCAATTCAGATATCCTCTGCTATTGTCTTAAATAGCACTCTATTCTGCCCCTTTATAGCGCTTCACATTTTCATTTTATACTTATGTAATTATTTGTTTACTGTCTTTCTCTTTTTTTCAATTGAAATTTTATTGTAAGCTTATAAAGAACTTGGATTTCCATTCATTCATTGTTGCACATTTTCCTCCCTGTCCCCCCTTCCCCAGTTCGCTTTTTTCTTTGGGGAAAAAAGTTCTTTCATTGTTATACAGCCCCCCATACCAAGACCAGCTCTTATTCTGGATTCTTTTCATACCAATAATACCTAATCATATATTTTTTTATGCAGTTCTCTCCCTTCTCTGTTTCAGCGCCATGTACATTATTCTTTTTTAGTTTTCTCCCAACCCCCATATCAGTCCTGTTCCATAACAGTGGCATTATACAGTATTTGTCTTTTTGTGACTGAGATATTTCACTAAGCATAATGTCCTCCATCCATTGTCACCCATTTTGTATATTTCATGAGTTCTTTGTTCTTCAGTGCTGTATAATATTCCATTGTGTGAATATACCACAGTTTGTCTGTCCATTTGTTTGTTGATGGACACTTGGGCTGTTTCCAACTCTTTGCTATTGTGCAATAAACACGGTTGTGCATATATTTGCTTGGGTGGCAGTTACGGTTTCTTTGGGGTATATTCACAGTAGTGGAATTGCTGGGTCAAATGGTATTTCTATTTTTAATTTTTCTTTTTCTTTTTTATTTGTAATATTTGAGAAAGCGCCATACTGCCTTCCAGAGTGGTTGAACCATTTTACACTCCCACCAGCAGTGAATATAGGTTCCAGTTTCTCCACAACCTCGCCAGCATTTGTTGTTTGCTCTTCTGTTAAATTTTGCTATTCTTACTGGAGTGAGATGATACCGCATAATTGTTTTGATTTGCATCTCTTAGAGCTAGGGATTTTGAACATTTCTTCATGTATTTTGTTTGCCACCTGAATGTCTTCTTTAGTATCTATTCATATCCTGTGCCCATTTTGCAATTGGGTTGTTTACCTTTATCTTGTTGTGGCGCTTGAGTCTTCTATAAATTCTGGATATAAGTCCTTTATCAGACATGTCATTACCAAATATTTTTTTCCCCTGCTGTGGCTTCCTTTTTTACCTGTTGGAGAAATTTTTGGGTGTGCATAGGGATTTGATTCTTAGAAGGTCAGAGGTCCCATTCATCTATTTTATCCTCTCCTGGTTGTAGGTTACTGTCTTTCTTCTTAATCTGTAAGATTTCAAAGGACAGCAGCCAAGACTTTTGTTTATCAGTCAGCACCTGACTCAGTGATTGCTACTCTCTGGTTTATCAGAGATGGTAAAATATGTTTGTCCAGTCAGTTAGAGAAATATCACCAAGATTCTTAAGTGGAAAAACAGTTGATTCTAAGCTTATCATGCAGTTTTGAGATATTTGTGATTATTTGTTCACCAGGTATTACTGTGTACTGGGCATGGTTCTATGTATGGGACATGCAACAGTGAACAGAGTCCCTCCCTTCATGGAACTTACATCTAAGAGAGACTTAACTGAGGGGAAATGTGAACAGTGCCTTTCTTTCTCACAATTTATCTCTCTTTGATTCATTGCTGCCAAAGGACTCAGTTACAATGTTTGTTTATTTTTAGAAGAAACTGGAAGATGTCAGATCCCAGGAGCAATTTCTTAGTTTAGATAAGGAATTGAAGCAACTAAAGAAAGCTGTGGCTGCCTCTGATAAACTAGCCACAGCTGAACTCACCATTGCCAAGGACCAGCTTAAGTCCCTCCATGGAACTGTTATGAAAATTAATCAGGAGAGAGCTGAGGTAAGTCATAAAGAAGAGAAGTTCCCACTAACTGGTACTGTCAAAAAATACAGCAACTTCAGTATTGATCTCTTGTTATAGGCTTTATAAAAAATAAAGTTGTTGGTTTCTCTTAAGACCTAAAAATTGTGTTTCCCTCATCACAGTAGCCAAGACTATGTTTTGTGCCATTATGGGCCCTACATACTGTTGAGTTCTAAAAGGAATAATGAAGTGAAATATGCTGTCCCTACCTGAACAGGTTTGTGATCGGAGGAAGGAAATAATTATCAATACACATCTGGGACACAGAAATTCCGTATGACCCGGCTATTTCACTGCTAGGAGTATACTCCAAGGAAGTTAAAACTGAGACACAAATGGAAATTTGTACACCAGTATTCATAGGAGCATTATTCACAGTCACAAGAACATGGAAACAGCCCAGATGTCCAATCACAATTGAATGGGTTGAGAAATTGTGTTACATTCACCCAGTGGAATACTTTGAAGCACTCAGGATCAATGATTTAAAAAAAACAACAACAACCAGAAACCTACATAACTTGAGAAAGACTGGAGAGCATTATGCTGAGTGAACTAATTCAGTCTCATAAAGACAAATACTGCATAAACCATTATTGTAAAAATAGAAGGATAACTGGTAGAATGTGTTTGGGAGGTATAAGGGGGGAATTCTAGGGTTACAAATCTGATGGGTGAGGAAAAGGAAAAGATCTGATAGGAACCTGAAAAGAAAGGGAAATAGTGTACATAATTCATTGGTTTAATTTTATAAAACACAATGTATGGGAAAGATTGTATGAAACACTATGTGAATAAAGGAAAAATGTGAAACACAACGTATATGTGTGCAAATCAACATAAAATAATATTTTTATGAAAATGTTAAGACTTTTATTACTTTTTAAAATTTTTTTTTATTTTTTTAATTAATTTTAATGAAAAAATTTTACAGAGACTTAGGGTTTCCAGTTATTCATTTGTTGCACTTTTTTCCTTACGCAAACAAACCCTCCTCTCCAGTTGAAAACCCTCCTCTCCTTCTCCTTGAAAAGAAAGAAGAACTCTTTCATTCTTATGCAGTCCCTCCTTGCGAAGTCCGCTCCACTATACAGCCTTCACTCTGGATTTCTGTAATAACAAGAATACTCATTCATATGACCCTTTTAAACAGTTCTCTCCCTCATCTGTTTCAATGCAATAAACATCATTCCTCCACTCCTTTACTGTCTTCCCTCAACTCTGATGTCAGTCCCATTTTACAACAGTGGCCCTATGCAATATTGTCTTATTGTGATTGAGGTATTTCATTCAGCATAATGTCCTCCAGGGTCACTCATTTTGTATAATAATTCACGAGTTCCTTGTTTTTCAATGCTGCGTAGTATTCCATTGTGTTTATATACCAGAGCTTCTCTAGCCATTCATTTGTTGATGGGCACTTGCATTGTTTCTAGTTCTTTGCTATTGTGAACAAAGCTGCAATAAACATGGGTATGAAAATCATTTTTTAAAGGAAAAAATCTCCAAAAATATACATCTGGAAAGTATTTTAAAGACTTGTCGTAATTCCTCAAGGCTCATGTCCGAAACAGTACGTTACTATGCTTTATTGGGTTCAATTGCTAATGAGAGTAGTATAAATCACAGGATGGAAAATTCTAGTAATGAAAGAAAGAGAACAACAAGGGAAAAACTAGTCCTTGTGTTCTGTTGTTTTGTTTTTGATGGAGCACCATTTCCATGAAACCCCCATGGCGAGTTCAGAGAATGCCTCCTTATAATGGGAACAGTACGTGAGATGGTGAGACTTGGTGCCACATGTCCATGAGATACCTGGACGGGTGACATAACTGAAGCAGAAGCACCAGTTTGAGAAAAAGATGAAGAAGATAGCCTGTAAAGTCAGTGATGCTCTTTCCTACCTTTGTCCCAGCAGGAGTTGCAGGAAACCGAGAGGTTCAGCAGAAAAGCAACACAAGCAGCTAGGGAACTGACCCGAGCAGAAGCAGAAATTGAACTCCTGCAGACTCTTCTTAGGAACAGAGAGAATCAGGTATCCCAAGACCTTTTCTTTTACTGGCTACTTTTCAGTTCCAGAAAGATAAAAATACTTTGGAACACCTTAAAATATTTTTAAGTTCATTTGACACTCTGTAGTACCGTGTACCAAGCAGGGAAGTGTGGTGGCATGGTCCATATCAAGTTTTCTGCTAACCCAAAGACTGAGGGCCTAGCCGTTTGAATTCATCAATGATTCTGAGGGAGAATGGGGGTCAGTCTCCTCTGGTTAAAACTTAACAGCTTTTGAAACCTAATGGAGAGTTTATTTGAGTGTTGTAAGTTAGAACCCACATAAATGATTTTGAGTGCTTTTTAAATTTTTAATGCTAAGCCTCTGGTGGTGTAGCCCATAGTATGTTGTGTTGCTAATTTAAAAGGCTGTGCATGTCTAGCCGTTTAAACCTACTGTTAGCTCTGAGGGCAATCTCCTCCAGTTAAGATCCTCAGACCTGATTGACAGTCAATATGAGTCAGAATCAACTCATTAACAGTGAGTGAGTTTATACAAGACACTACCCACTACCATCAAGTCATTTCTGCCTCATATCATAGTGACCTTCTGTTGGCTTTCTGGGGCTATAAATTTTCATGGGAGACTGCCCCCATCTTTTGCCCTCAGAGTGACCCACTATTGGATTTGAACCACCAGAGATGCTCAGCCCTTTGGTCAGCTGTGCTAACTCTACAGATTATGCACAATATAGCTTATGTATGAGGAATAATTCTGTTTTCTACTGGTTAAGTGTAAATAAAAATCAGAATTATAATAAGATTGCTCTTAATAGGCACATCTTTGGAAAGAATATTGATAACTCTGTAAATATGATTCCTCAATAGTTTCAAATGGAGATGGAGAAAGCAGATGCAGGCACCGTAGTGGCAAACTCACACATGTTAGAAATCAATAAGCTCAATGAGACAATGGAGAGACAAAGGACAGAGATTGCAAGGCTTAGAAATTTACTGGACCTCACAGGGGCTGGTAAGATACTGCACTTTGGTCATGTTTGTTATTGTTCTTATAGGCATTACTCTTTTTAAATGAAAACATCTTGTTTCTCTTTTTTGTATAATTGTTGCAGCAAATGGATTCCATGTTTGATTTACAATGCTGTGTGATTAGCTTAACAAATAAGAGCAATTTTGAGAAACTCAATTACAAAGAAACTTATATTTGTATTTCCAGAACAAGTAATGTTTATACATCTGTTCATTTGCTTTCTCTACCGTAGTTTATAATCAAAGGAAAGAAGGTTGTGTCTATCTTTTTTAAGTTTTAGGAAAAAACTCATTCAAAAAGGGCAGGCTAGCTTTGAGGAACTGATAAAATTCATTGGCAGTCAGAATCAATTTTTTATTTTGAGAGAGAAAGGAAACATTATTTTAGAGCAATTTCATAGAGTATCATTCATTTACAGATAACAAAGGAGGCTTTGAAAATGTTCTGGAGGAAATTGCTGAACTCCGTCGTGAAGTTTCTCATCAGAATGATTACATCAGCAGCATAGCGGATCCTTTCAAAAGACGAGGCTATTGGTACTTTATGCCGCCACCACCATCATCAAAAGTAGGAAATCTGTGGTGCTGGAAGTGTACATCGAATTTTCTTGATGATAGTTTGACAGTTTTTCATCCCCAAACTTGTGAACAAGATTTATAAAAAAATATTTCTATTCCATTCTGTAGTTTTATATGTCAAAGTCTACATTAAGAACCACATAATTTTGGTTGGTTTTTAAGTGTTTTTAATAATTGAGATGAAAATAGGGTCTTCCTAGGAAAAACATTAATTGACCTGTCATGTTCAGGTGGTATGCTGTGGGTTCTTCAATGAGCATGCTGTAAGAAAATATAAGGTAACTCAAAGCCCAGAAAACCAGTTAAAAATGAGTGTAGAATTATGCATAGGTGCAAACAAAACAAATAGACACCTGGATTTCACTTCATTTTAACAAACATATTCATGCTTCTTGAAGACTAGATCATTTCTTTAGTAATATAGGGTATCAAGGTGAATGAACTCATGAAGAAGTTCACAAAGCACAGTGGTGAAGTTGGCACTTTAATAAGCAGGGAGAGATAGGCTTTATTGGAATTCAGAAATAACTGGTGTGACAAAGAATAGTTGGCTAAGACATGGCATGTAGGCCTCATGAGACTGGATGTTTGAATGTGAACAATATCATTTGAAACTGGAAAAGTAGAGTGGGGTCCTTTTTCTTTTTTTAAAAAAAAGCCCTCTTTAAAATCCATTATACTTAGTTTTGTAGGCTGTAGGAAGCTGGGGAGGTGTAATATTCTGACTGAGTATAGAATCTAGTTTGTTATAAGGTGAACTTTGTATGGGACAAGTTGAAATAGTTCAAGTGAGAAATGGCAGAGGTCAGAACTAGAGCATTGGTGTTAAAGGAAAAGAGATGAGATTGAAAATTGAGATAAAATGGTCAGGACTCTGCCTGAGTTTGGGAGGTGAGGAGAATTCTATGAGTTACATATATCCAAAGCAGAGGCAGAAGGTAACATTCTGAACAGCAAGGATTAGGGAGAAGTGGCTCGGGTGTATTATAATTCCAGGACTGTTTAGGCTTAACCAGAATTTGAAGAGCAGAACCTAGAAACATTCTTCCTTAGGGCCTTGTGTAAGGCTGCAGTTTATATCTTAGTGTAATCACTTCTGTCTCTGAAAAATTAGAATGATGATATATGCAAAGAAACCAAAATCTTACATTTTCCACATTAAAAGTGGGCTGTACAGAGGGGTGAGGATGGATGGGGTGGGTAATCATAAGGTCGCACAATTTGATAGGTAGAGGAAGGGGTGAGTAAAGGAAATGGGAAAGATCCGGTGTGATAAACAATGCATATGAACTTTGTAAGTAAAACACTATAAAATAAAAAAGTAGGCTATAGACTTTTAACAGTTCTCAAAACCAGTTGTTTTGTTTGTAATAGATGGTGTGCTCTACTGTCATTCTTTTAGGTTTCTAGCCATAGTTCCCAGGCCACCAAGGACTCTGGTGTTGGCTTAAAGTGCACAGCCTCAACTCCTATGAGGAAACCACATCCTGGGCAGCAGGATGGGAAGGAAGGAAATGGACCTCTCCCTGCCTCAGGATACTGGGTTTATTCTCCAATCAGAAGTGGGCTATATAAGTCTTTTTCAAATCGAGGTAGGTGAAATTACATACAGAGGTTGGATTTCTTTTGTCTTAATAATCTTTTATTGGTTCTCTGAAGTTCATAAGACATAGTCCAAACAGCTTACTTTCTTTGTGAGGCCCTATGAACTGCTCTGGGCCAGCCACAAGTCTGAAGTTTCTGCTCCCATCCATGACATGTTCCTCAAACCTACATATTTTAAACGCTCTGTGTGAAATGTCCTTGTCCCTCTACTTTTCTCAGCCTGATCCCACTTATCGTTCAGTAAGATCCAGGTCCTAAAAAAATCACTCCTCTTGTGGTCCCTTCACCTTCTTACTCAGGCTGACTGAACTGTGGCTCCATCTATACTCCAGAACATTAGCATGGCACCATATATCCTGGCTTCATGGCGTTATTCTTACTCTACTAAATTGATGTGTTCACAGGTCTGTCCTCCAGAGTTCTGAGTTTAGAGAGTCATTCCTGGGTTGAATATTTAATAGAAATGTACTTGTAAGTTATTTAGTTGTTTAATGTGATTTACTTGTCCTGACACAGTTTATCTATAATGTGAGAATATAATTTGAGACTTTGCATTCATGAATTACTTACTGAATGCCTATTATGTGCATTGTTCTCTGCCTTCAGTTATAAATAAGACATATTTCCTGGCAGTACTACATGCCGGGTGCTGTAGAATCTCTCAGCACCTGGAATATGGTATGCTGAATGAAGGAAAGAATAAATGAACAAAGTGATAGATGGGCATAATGAAAACTCATGTATCAGCCATTGAATATACTTTGAATCTTTGTCTTTGATCTGCTTTTCAAAATAACTTGACCTGTTTTCTCGGAATTTTACTCTCACATCTCTGGTCTCAACCTAAATGCTTCTGTTTATATCATGAATTGTAAAGGTAAAACATTTTTCTCTTCATTTCTTTGAAGATGAACCCAGTGAAGGAGATAGCCATGAAGAGAGTGACCTGGATGACCAAGAAGAACCTCCATTTGTGCCTCCACCTGGATACATGATATATACTGTCTTTCCAGATGGTTCTCCTGTGCCTCAGGGCATGGCCGTTTATGCACCACCTCCTCCCTTGCCTAACAATAGCAGGCCTCTTACCCCTGGAACAGTTGTCTATGGCCCTCCTCCTGCTGGAGCCCCCATTGTGTATGGGCCTCCACCTCCCAACTTCTCAGTCCCCCTTATTCCCATGGGTGTGCTTCACTGCAATGTCCCAGAGCACCATAACTTAGTAAGTAGAAAGATATATGAAATCCATGCCCACTTCTTCTAAAAGTAACGAAGTTTATGTACAGAATAACAATCTGAGGGTATTTTATTTCTTTAATCTCCTAGTTCTTCAAACCAGAAAAGATGGACAGTATTCTTTTGTATAATTTACATCCTCAGCAACAGCAAAGAGTTTGAGTTTTGTGACGTTGGTTTTGGTTTTTGCTTTTTTTTTTTAAGATTTATAAGTAGATTATGTCCCAAAAATGTGTTTGCAGTGTTTGTATTATGTACTGTAGAGCTGGAACTAACCCATAGCTTACGCTCCACCAAGTTTTCAGAAGTAGTTAATCGCATAGAAGGAGATTACCCATCCTTTTTCAGTGGAGCAGCAGCTGGTGGATACAAAATGCGTGACTTCCCGATTGCAGTGCAGCTTCTTATCACTAGGCCATCAGAGCTCTCTTTGCAAGGTTTATGTTTAGGATTGAATGATAACTCGAATAAAAATAATATTGTGAAAAGGAGTAAGGAGATCAAATCAGTTCTAGAAAATGAACTTTTTAAATAGACATGCTTTCAATCATGAAACTTTTCTAAAAATATTAACATATTATTCTATTAAAAAAATATATAGGGCATATGTAAGTATACTTACATACCACTATTTCTATCTATAAAGGTATATATTTATAGATACTTATGTATGTATATGAATACACATTATACAGCAGAGTTTTGATAAGGATTATCTCTGGATAGTAGGATTTATATGTTGTTGTTATTATTATGTCTTAGTCCTTTTGTATACATCATTTTTGCATACTGCTTTTTCCATTTAACACAATAAGCAATATAGTTAATTGTATATGTTTACTGTAGTTGATATTCTTTTCTCAGACTTGTTGTTAGACTTTCTTAGAAAATTGGACTCATAGCAACCATTTGAAATCTTACCTGTTCCTGAGCCATTCTTAGAATTCCCACTGTATTTAAAGGCCTTTGTTGCAGTCACTTTGCTAGTCCATCTCATTGATGATCTTCCTCTCCTTCTCTGGCCCTCCACCTTGCCAAGCAAGCATCATGCCTTCTTAATAACATGTCCAAAGCATGTGTGGTGAAGTTGTGCTGGTAACAAAGTACAGCACTTTGAATCCACAGTTTAATTCCATTTTTACATCCATCTTACAGCCTTAATAATCCACCAGAGAGTAGCAGTTGGAATCAACTTGCCAGCACTGGGTGTTCTTAGACTAGTTTTTGAAAAATGACTAGGTTCTAATCACTAGAGTACTAACTTTCCTATTTTGGAGACATAAAATATATTCCAGTTTCCTCCTTCAAACTCCAGATATCTCTACTGGTTTTTTTTCATTCCCTTCTCAGCAGGCTGATGTAAACAATAAAAAGTTAAATCACATGAGGGCCAGACCATCTGCCTCACTTTAATAAGTCAAACTTGTTTCAGAGAAACTATCTGTGTATACAGTATTTAAAATAACGTTCACATAGTCTTGGAGATTTTCTTTGCACATTGTATTTAAGGCAATTCTGTCAGCCCATTGTTTACTGATGATTTTTTTAAAATTTATTTTATTATTTTTGTGTGTGTGTGTACTGTCAAATCGGATCTGACTGGTACAAGAGGAGATTGTCCCTCCTTTTCCAGCAGAGCATCTGGTGGATTTGAATTGCATACTTCTGGGATTACAGTGCAGCTTCTTGCCACTAGGCTACCAGGGCTCCCTGTTTATTTACTGATGATTTTTTTAAACTAGTTGTTTGATTTTTTAACTCTCAGACTTCCCGGTGTTTTATAGTTTTCCAGGTATACTTTTTTTATCTTCCTACATTTTTACACATTATTTCCTCAGCCTATATTTTTCTCCTTTCATTCATTCTTTAAAATGCTTCCTCTGGAAGGCTATTCAGGTAATTTCCCTTTCCATGTATTTAGAAGAGGGTTAGACAACTGTTTTTCTCTCATCTGCTAGACTCTGAACTCTAGGGGCAGAGAATATCCACAAGAGGTACCTGAAGATTATTTTCAATCATAGTAGGCCTAACAGAAAAGTGGCATACTCAGTGAATTTATCAGTTTATCTGTAATTTGTGAAATTTTGGCTTGACTTAATTTCTATTTCCACACTAAAGTCTTACATTCTGCCACCATGTTCAAATGATGGATTCCACTTTAAAGGCAGTTAATTTTAAGTTTTGGAAGAAAAGAGAAATACCCTAAGATGTTTAAATATTGCATTTTTTTTCTTTGTTAAGGAGAATGAAGTTTCTAGATTGGAAGAAATAATACAGCATTTAAAATCAAAAAGACGGGAAGAAAGGTGGATAAGAGTATCTAAGCGGCAATCTGAGAAAGAAATAGAAGAGTTGCATCATAATATTGATGATCTTTTGCAAGAGAAGAGAGACTTAGAGGATGAAATAGAAGAATTACATTTAACCATCCAGAAGCATCAACAGCGAAAGTAAGATTATTAGCTATCTTACTAAATAGTTCAGAGGAGTGTACAATTACATTAATTTGTGAAGATAATCTAAAATCAGTGCTGCCTAGTATAACTTTCTGTAGCCTTGGAAATATTCTAAATATGTACTATGAAAAACAGTAGCCACTAACTGTATGTGAGTATCAGACACGTGAAGCAATGAATTTTTATTTTAATAGTCACATGGCAACTACATAATGGAGCTGCATATAATAGTCATGTGGCAAATACACATGCTGATCTAAATCTTTTAGCCATTTATCCAAATTAACTCTTGTTGTAATTTCTCTTGTATAATAAAATAACCATCTTTCTGTCCTCCTCAAAATAACTGATGTCTTGTGCTCTTCTCTCATCTTCCAGTTACCCAGTTGTTCACCAAGATCCATTGATATTCCATAGACAAAGAGCTCTCACATGGGGCCCATTCTTCCATATCTACTATCCTGACCTTTAGTCAGTCTCATCCTTGGCTCTGGTAGTAGCTTCCTCACTGACTCTCTGTCTAGCTTGTTTCCCTCCTTTCCAGCTTTACCTCTATTGTAGATCTGATCACGCTATGTGCAGTGTGACTACATCACGTCAAGATGCTAAGTTCTCAGCCCTGCCTGATTGCTGGTTTTGCTTTTTTAATCCTCCTCTCCCACATACAATGTTTAGTCTGGCTCTGTGTTGTCCCCAAGCATCTGTTTTTCCTGCTTTTCCACTTTTGCGTGTGCATCTTCTCTGCCAGAAATGCCTTCTGCCTTCCCTCCTATGCCCATCCAACTCTCTTTCAAAAGAAAGGGCAAGAAATCCATGTTTTAAAAAAATCTTTCTTTTGTCAGGCCCTCCATAATTGAAGATTAACCTTAGAGTTTAGCACTGTTTACACAATATTAAAAGGAACCCAGGAGCTCCTTGAGAGTAGTGACAGGGCTTCCATCTCTGTTTCCCAGCCTGTAGCAAAGAACAGTGCAGGTCTGTTTGTAAATTCTACTGATAAGGGCCAATTATGTAAAAGTTCTGTTTATATAGTGGTCAGTGAATTATGATAGTTACCCTGGCTTGTCATTTAAGCCAGATTGGGTCATGCTGTGGGATGAGGGAAGACTTTCACAATACACAAAAGTAAGTGAAATAGTGTCACTGCCTTCTATTAGTATTCATGTGAGTGACTAACTGATAGATCTACCAGAGAAAAGCAAGACTCACACTCAGAGGAAGATTAAAACTTACATAGGTGGACAGATCTGTTATTTTTGTGGGTGCATATAAAGGGAGCTCATAAAATAAAAATAATTGTGTCTTCATCATTAAAGAGTCTGTTAACATATACCTGTGTCTGTCTTTATATTCTGTCATAAAGTCATACATCGTTCCAGTTTCAGTTAATTATTTTGTCATCATTGTTTGTCATGTTAGCCTTAAGTTACTAGATTGTGTGTCGTGATTTTTATTTGTTAACTACAGATCACCATAGCTTATGCTAAAAGGATAGAATAAATCACAAATTCAGGGTAGATTTTGAAGTTGGTCTTCAAAAGTAAGTTTTTAAAACAGAATAGTTACTACTATAGTGACTTGTTATATTTTTATACCTTAGAAGAATAAAATATCAGAATTGGCTTGACAGTACATTAATCTTTATATTCTTTTAGATATTAAAAACCCCTAATTATATGTGTGTGAATAAATATGTATATAGTAGTAGTTGTTGTTGTTGTGTGTACGATTCATAGTGACCCTATGTACAACAGCCCTAAGCCCTGCTCTATCCTGTGCCAATCTCACTGTCTCTGACACACCTACCCCCATCACCCCAGTCACCGAATCAGTCCACCTCAGAGAGGGTCTTTCTCTCCTGCACTGTCCCTCCATGCCCCCCCCCAAGAATGATGGCCTTTTCCAAGGACTGTTTGCAACATGTCCAAAGTATGTCAGTTACATATTTATTTTCAACAGCATTACCTTTTTTTTTTTTACATTATCATCTTTTACTTGCTTATAGATTTACATGTATATAATAGAGATGTTAATTTAATTTTTGTTAATACTTTAATGAAAATTTACAGAAAACTTGCATTTCCATTCATTTATTGTTGCACATTTTTCTCCCTACCCCCCTCCAGTTTGCTTTTCTTTTTTAAAAAAATTCTTTCGTTGTTGCACAATTTCCTCTGTCCCCACCCCCCAATCCACTTTTCTGTGCACCTCTTATTCTGGATTGTTTTCATGTAAATAATACCTAATCATATTTTCCTTTTAAACAGTTCTTTCCCTCATCTGTTTCAATGCAGTGTTCATTATTTATCCCCACTTTTCTTAATTTTCCTTCAACCCCCGTATCAGTCCTGTTTTCTAACAGAGACTTATGCAGTATTTGTCCTTTTGTGACAGAGCTATCTCACTCATGTACTGTCCTCCTGGGTCACCCATTTTGTATATTTTTTTTAGTTCCTTGTTTCTAAGTGCTGCATAGTATTCCATTGTGTGAATATGCCACCACTTCTCCATTCATTTGTTGGTGGGCACTTGATTTGCTTCCATCTCTTTGTTATTGTGAAAAGTGCAGCAATAAACATAGGTGTGCCTGTTTACTCTTTTGATCATAAAGTAAAAGTCTTAGAAGGTAATCAAATATAGCTGTTGTCTTACCCCTTATATAAATTAGAAAATATAGTGCATCAGTTTACCATTTTGGCTTCAAATGCTATTGGGCCTACATTTAAAATCTTTAATGAGTGTATATAATTTTTCTTTTCCAATTTTAGGGATTTCATTGATGGAAATTGTGAAAGTCTTGTTACTGAATTAGAACTAGAAAAGTCACTCAAACACCATGAAGATATTGTAGATGAAATTCAGTGTATTGAAAAGACCCTTCTGAAACGTCGTGCTGAGCTCAGGGAAGCTGACCAACTCCTGGCTGAGGCAGAGAGTGAACTTTCAAGCACAAAAGAGAAAGTAGGTCTTGTTGTGATTTTTAAATGTGAATTTAGTGTGGATTAGACAGGTTACTATCTTCAGATAAAGGATTAGAAAGATAAAGCAGTCAACCAAGTACAAAGTACAAATAAAGATTTGCTTTAATTTTCATTTTATATTGGTTTGCTTACAAAGTTCCTATACATTGTGTTTTACACTATTCTTCATTCACATTGTGTTTCATACAATCATTCCCGTGAATTATGTTTTATAAAATTAATCATCATTGAACTCTACCCATCATTGCCCTGTCTTTTCAGGTCCCCACCAGATCCTTCCCATTTCCTTTACCCCCTTCTTCTACCCATTAAATTGTGTGACCCTGTGAGTTAGCTTCTACTCATCCTCACTCCTCTGCTCCCACCCGTTCTTCCCTTGAGTCTCTGTGTATGTTTTACTTGTATCCTTTTATTTTTACAATAATGGTCATAGGCAGTATTTGCCCTCATGAGACTGAGTTAGTTCATTCAGCATAACGCTCTCTCTCTTTCTCCCTCAAGTTATGTAGGTTTTTTTTCTATATTTTATTAATTTTAATAAACATTTACAGAGATTTTGGGTTTCCATTCATTCCTTGTTGCACTATTCTCTCTACCCTCCTCCCAGTTTATTCTTGTCCAAATGCCACAGTGCTTGTCGAAGCCAGTTCTGATTAATCTTCTTTGTCAGTGTGTCCTTTGCCATTCCCTATCACTCCTCCCTGAGAGAGACTTCACCCTGAGTCATAAGG